TGGCATTCCTGAGATGTGCAAATTTTCTGTACTATACATGCACAATGTATATGTAATGTGGATGGGGGCAGGGAAGAGGGTCCCAAACAAGGAAAGTATCTGTGTGAAAACATCCAGTCTGTACTATTTCTGTTTCTCCCTTCTCTTGCACTAGGGCGCCACCATATCTGAAATACAACAGAGACTAAAAAATTCAGTGTCTGGCAAGCTACGTGTTCTCTCTTCATAGATGAATTTTTAAAAACAGTGGATCAAGTCTGTGCAGCAGTTCAGTCCTGCCAAGGAAATCAAAAGCCAAAACACCCAAATATACCAAGAAGCAGCACAAAAGCTTGTCTGTGCCTTCTCCAAATAAGAGGTTTGCCAGTGATGATCTTGGCAGCACTATTTCACACTAACCCTTTTCCCAGTTCTGGGGAACACATGTCCACCACATTACTCAGCATTTTCCAGGCTAGGGGAGGGTTCAGGATTGACCTTGCTACTTCACTTTACAGAAAAACCTGACACATATCTTATCTACCTCTGTGTTTTAATCACAAAATAGGCTCACCCACATTAATGATTAACGGTGAAAACTTCAGTCTTAGTGGCAGACAGGCCTTGAACCTGACAGTGACACTCTCTAAAGCAGAACAAAACATATAATCACATTCCTAGGACACACACGTGTCTATACTGGAGACCATATAGTTAAATACCTTAACAATCAATGTAAACAGCCCACAGCCCATCTATACTATTTCCAAGCTTGCAATTTAGAGAATGCAGGGTAGGCAAGAGTGACACTTGCTCAACTCAGGGAGCAAACCTGCTTCAGCATTCACTACAACCTGTAGAGGAGAGAGCTTCACCGTGAAGTCTTGCCAAGAGGGAATTACAATAATTGAGCCTCATGGTCACAAGACTACATGCTCCTGTTGTGAAAGAGTCACTGGGCAAATAAGGGTGTAGCCTGCAACATAGTTTATCATGCTGGGGAAAAAAAAAAAAAAAGCCACACTCAACACATGGTCTTACCCCCTGAAAAGGTACAAAGTCAGGAACAAGGATCTTACAAATGTGTGCTCATGTCAAAAATGTCATAGAAAATGCTGCCATTCTAGTACTGTCAGTGCAGTAACAACACAGAGTTGGGAATAAAAGCAAATTGCAGAGTTGAGCCTTGCAGCAAATAATTTAGGCAAAAGCTACAGCAAGAAAAGAAAATTCCACGGGATGGAAGAATAAAAATTAGGATGACATAGAAACGACAGCTGTACACTAAGGTAAAGTCACAAAAGCCATACATTTCCAGGATAAAAAAATAACAGCAAAATATTATAAAAAATAAAATGCCAGATACCAATTTTAAAACACAAACAGACAGGTACCTCAGACTAGCTGAGCAGAACCAGAAAGATGCCACTCAGCAGCATCTTGATCTTGAAACCTAACCAAATATTTTTGTACTTCAGGCATGTGTACTAATGTAACTGAAGGAGTTCAGGAATGTTTTCCAAGGTTATCTTTCCTTGTTTGCAGAAAGCAAGTAAAGAACTTGCAAAATAATCGCTTTTACAAGCCACTGCCTTCAGCTGTATGTACACGCAGACTCTACACTAACTAAACTTCCTTTAACAATTCTATTTGTCCTAGGGTGCTGCTGGCCACTTGTAGAGAAGGTGACTGGGCAAGTGGAGTGGCAGAGGGATAGAGCAAAGCATCTGCCTATAGCAAGGGCACCAACTCAGCACTTCTGGGAGTGGCAGGGGCTTGAAGAGGGGGGTACCACATTCAGCCAGGCCCTCCCCATCACAAGGAAGTGAAAGGCCCTTTCATTCATTTCTCACTCTGAGCCCTGCTTCTCTGACGGAGGGAGAAAAAATGCATTTAGCATTATTTCTGATGCAAGGAAGATACAAAAGCATCTCAAACACAAGTTACTCCCACTACAGTCTGCTAAGGGCTTCCCTCTTTACTGTCAAACCATCAAAAGTGGCAGGTTTTCATGGGGTCTTGTTTCTGTGTGCTAATGTGTCCTGATGTGCTATCCAGAACCCTCTTCCAGTCTCAGCTTTCACCACTACACTATTTCTGACACAAAGCTTCTGATAATACATATGACTTGCATTTATGAAGCAGCAATAACACACAGGTTCAATCCCCTGGTACAAGGAGTACAACCTGTATTAAAATCTCAGGTTATTTATGAGGTAAATGAGTTACACAAACTTTGACAAAATCCACACTTTCTAATATCTTTGTCTGTACTAAGAACTAATTTGACTCTAAAATTTGTACTATATACTACTCCATAGAAAACAGAGGGTTAATAATTTTTAATTATTGTTCACAGTAGCCCAGATAATATTGAAGAACCTGTTGCAATTAAAATTCATAAGCTGTATTTCCGAATCTCACAACTCAGGTCAAGAACTGCAATCATAATGATTGTCTATTAAATAGTGTATCCTGACTCACTACAGACAAATAAGCTGCTCTTATAAAAGCACACCTCTGCTTCAGTACAGGTGGGTGGCAAAGGAAGACACTGATAAGGAATAATTAAATTAATACTGCACTAATTAAAAGATGAATTAATTGAAACAGTCCATGAAGTATCCAAGTGTACACAAAGCAATTCCACAGATGCTACACTGGAAGGCTGACTATCCAGTGCACAGCTGAAATCAGAATGTGATTATTAATGGAACATCCAATGCTAAAGTTGATCACAGATTTTGTGTTGCTGACCGTCAAACATGAAATGCTACTGCATGTCATTTTTGCAAGCAAACTTTACAGAATGACCAGGGACATCAGAAAATGATACAGTCAGTATCACGCTGGACAATAACACAGCAGATAAGAGTTGATTTTCTCATTGACAAAAAAAGTAAAATATCATCTAAACTGCCCATTACTGTACCTTCATGACATCTTTATAGGAATGAATGGCCTCAACTTCCTCTTCGTCATCATCATTGTCATCCTCCACTCCTTCATCCAGAGCATCATATCCTTCATCCCTACTGCCATCTGTTTCTGTGGTGTTAGTCATGCAGTCAATAAGCTGCTCCAGTGGAGGACTTAATTCTCGTTCTTCATTGTCCTTCAAACCATAGTCCAGGGCTTTATATATAATAATCCCTAGTGATTCAATAACCTATAAAAGTGAAAAAGAAATTTGTTAATGCCATGAATGAATGAATAGGTCAGTCTAAGAACATCCTTTTCTGGAGCTTGCATAACAAACTTAGCAAATGAGAAGGCAATAAACATCAAAATTAATGAGAAAAATAATACCTACAGTAGTACTTCAGTAATGCAGCACGGAACATGCAAGAGCAGGAACTACCACATGCCTACCACTTTCTTATTTCAAAGCTTGAAATAAAAATTCATAATTTAAAATTGACCTGAGAGATGTCTGGACACAGCTGCAGTCATCCCAATATTAACCCCCTGAGCAATGGGACATCAGCCCACAAGAACTCCTTTGCCTGTTGTGCAGCCAGTGGAGGCACACATACTCCACTGAAACTACTAACAACTGGATTTCATAGTAATGAGGCAGTACACAAATACTTCATTGAACTTAAGGCTTCTTTTTTGTGCTCTGTCAAGAGCAAAGCCAGACAACCTCTTAGTCAGTGTAAGCTAGAAAAAAAATCATCAGGAACATCTCATAGCTTCTTTCTTGGCATAAATTATTTTCCTAGAGTAATGTTGAAGCTTCTAGCATTTAAAAGATGTAAAGACATGGCATTTTAAACCGAGGAGTTTGGAAACAGGTATTAATGGAGAGGGAAGAGAAAATGGACTTGCAAGAGTAAACAACAAGAAGGAAATGTCACTGCTGGGAGATCCTTGTCTGACAAAGGAAGTAGGACTGGAGTTATTGCGTGTAATCTCTCATCTTCCTTGTGTGTGTGATGGCCAGCATGTCACACAAAGGAGCAGACTCCAGTGTAGGCGTAGTTGGCTCTAGAGAAACTTTAATAACAGCAGCATTTCTAAACATACCAAATCTTGTCATCAAATGCCATTTTCTGTCATCTGGCTTTCAGTACTGCCCAGGTCAACACACTTTTTAATGTAGATTTTTTAAATTCAATTTGCAAAAATAGGTCAAGACAAATGGTTTCTTAAAACATTAGATTTTTCTCTAGCAGCTTACTCATCTCAGCCCAGCAAAATCTTTTTGGTCTGAGAGGCTGGTGGTTAGCAAAGACTTTAAATTATATCCTATTAGTTTACCTAGATAGACAATTTAATGAACTAGCTGTAGTCTGACAGCTTTACTCTTGCGTACTTCATCCTCTGTTGAGATTACTTTGCAGTGGAAATTCACTTTGTAAGACAGTGGCTAACAAACAGACTTTAAAAAAATACATTAAAATATTTTATAATTTGCTTACAATAATTTTGATAAATTTACTTAATATAAATAATTCTATGCTATTCTTGAAAAGTGTTTATACATACTTGGAAAATACTCTTAATATCCAGTTAAGACATTAGGCAAAGTAATGAAGAAAAAATTGCCTTCATCTATTTAGTTCAAAGAACAGCTTCTCACTTAGAAATAGTAGTGAGACAGCAAAGTATACCAGGGAAGCATCACTGAATTCTTGTTCAGTTCTCATATCCTTCCCCAGACTTCTGCCATGACCCACTTTGTAGACAGGACACTGCACCATATAGACCTTAAAAATAGCTGTAACAGACCAAACTTTCACTTGCAGCATATCTGGCTTCCTTCTCTGGAAAGCTACTTTGTAACAACTGTCTTGTAAAACTTGTATGTTAAAAACAATCTTAAAATGTGAAAATTTCACAAAATATATTCTACTGGTAGATGCATATGTTTCCTGTAACTCAGGTTCTTGGTACAATCTCAACATATACTGAAAAGGCACAAAGAACACCAAGTTAATTCCAATTTGAAGTAGATCTAAATGAAAATTAAGTACAACCAAATAATTGCTTTGATGTTTCAAACACCTAGGAGTAAACATAATGTGAGTAATTTCTAACTTTAATAAAAACTAAATTTGAAAGAGCTTTGCCTACGTGAGGAGGACTGAAATTTCCTAATTAGATGCAAAGAAAATAATGTCTTGTGCCATGCAGTGATGGCTGCTGAACGGCTTCTGGATTTTGCTACACCAACACTTAAAAAAAATAGAAGAGGGGAGTGTCGGATAAAGAAAGCGCACTCTCTCTGCTTCCGTCTGTTTGGGAAGAGGATTAAGGCCTTCAAAAGCACCATGGCTAAAACTGGATGACAGCTGCTGCTTTCTTTGATGTATCAGCAGTGGGGTTTTTTGCAGTTCAGTAAGATGGTTAGTGCATTTTTATATATTATTAATAGATTTCATAATGCATGCAAAGCTGGCACAACACGGAAGTCTGCAACAGCACCAATTCTGAACTATGTTCAGTCTCTCAGCTCCTTATTTAGGAGTTGTGGTCAAAACCGTATTTATTCAGTGTCTGTCAGTATCACAGATTCTTCTTGCTGAAAGACAAAGCCGCAAACATCTTCACTGAGAAACAATGCTTCGATTTGCATTAAAACTAAAAACTTTCAGCACTCAGTAATACTTGTTTACCAAGGATCTTGTAAAACCACACAAGAGCCATAGGAACATCAAGCAAAAGTCACTGAATGGTCACTGCTTCTTCACATGGACAAAACTACTATGGCAACTTCACACATACAAAACTTTTATGTCTGTATAACTAGAAACATAACATACAAAGTGAGACAGCTCATTGCTGCTTAAACACAAGTGCTGTCACTCTGGCTGTAACACAAATCAAATACAAACAAAAAAGAGAAAGCTTTTCACAGCTCAATTAATAAATTGATAAATTTGTGGTTTTTTTCAGTTTTGTTTGCTAATTTCACAAAAAAATAAATACTTCTGGCACACAACAAGTGACAAGCACTTGCATAGTTTTCTATCACATGTGAAAACAGAGGAAGAATAGGAAAAAGCAGGATAAGAAAAGACTTAGCAAGGATCTTTTAAACCACAGAGTTGTACATTGACATACCAAAATAACTGCATGATGCTGAAGTAATTGCCAGCACTAATGCTAAATTATGCTTCTTGATTCAGATGAAAAAAGATTAAGTTAGGCACCTTGAACTTTAGAAGTCATTTGTTCCTGATTGATTAAAATTTTGGCAACAGACCTGATCTTTGCAAATCACCCAGTAGCTAAATAACTTAAAAAAATAAACAAGGAAGCCTGCATTATTATGCTTTACACCTTCTCACCAAGTTCTTTTGAAAGTCATGGCTTCAGACCAAAAAAAAGCAACGCACCAACATTTCCCACAGACTGAACTTTAACTCTCTTGTGCTTAAATCATTAGTTGAAGAGGAATTTTGTCTCACTGTGAGTATTCTTTATTTCCTACACCAGTCTGGACTCGTGTTCTTTTCTAACAAGTTGTGATAAAGCTGCTGGAGCATTTTTACTTCAAACATGATTTAAAAACAGTATCTTCACACTCCTTTTATACACGCCGCAAAAACAAAACCATTCAGATTATTTTTGTACACAAACACTGCATGGAACAACTTTCTATTCTGTATACCTGCCTCCAACACACTATGGCACACCTCTTGGAAAGGCGTTCATTAGGGTTTTTGGTCTTTTATATGAAACAAATTATGTTCTTCCAATGGGCACTGCCAATTTAACATGCTCAAAAAGTCACCAAATACCCAGGTCTTTGTATAGCAACCAAACACATTTGAGGCTTGCAAAAGCTGAGTGAAATCTCTGTGAAGTACTTAGCTTAATTTTTTTTATTTCAAAGAAGAAACCTTTCCTTCCCTCCAACATATGTCTCTGACTCTTGCTGAAGCACAGATGAGAACAGGCAGAACCCACATGCCATTGCCCCCACGCACTGCACACACAATAGGCACTGTCTGAACTTTCATCCCCTTCCTAGGCTTGCTTTAATTTTTTAACAAAGCAACAAAGGCAAAGGACAGGCTTGTACTTAGAGGAGCAAAGGGCTTTATTTTTTCAGCCCAAATGCCTGTTCCTCCTTAAAGTTCTCCCTTCCTCCAAAAGCCACTCAGGTTTAGTATCCCTATACTGGGATTAAAGACACCATAAAGCTCCAAATCCTAAGGTGAGTAAACTAACTTTGAATTTTCCCAGCGGGACCTCAGATATAGTAACCAGTCACAAGAATACTTAAATTACTACTTCAATGTGTTTTATGAACTCTAATAATTTTTTTATTAAAATGTTATACTACAATTATTTTTAAGTGCTCCCATTTCATACCAGCTGATCTACAACACACTATGAAGGACAATCGCTCTGCCTCATGGTAAGAGTGCCGAAAGCCCAGAGCTGGCGAAAGCAGCAAACACTCCTTAGGGCACAGCTCCTCTCTGCCACCACCCCTGGTATTAGGCAGCACTAAGTCAATTTGCAAAGATTAACCTGTCCTACTACTAACTCTAAATTAGCCTGTCAGGAGCTCCATGCGGTGCTTCTGGAATCCTAACAGGCAGCATAAACATATCCAGAGACACCCTTGAAGTCAAGAGTTATGTATCTTAAATTTTCTATGGCGCAGTAGAAGACACATAGACACACAAGTTTTTGTGATAAAATCCTGTAGTACAGACCAAAAGCCAGGCATGCTACAATTTTATATAAACCCAGGTGTTTTTTCAGTTATTTACCTCATCCTTAGATGCCCTACATAACTCTCAAGAGTACCTCCTGGAAGAGTATGTCTAAATAGGTTTTTATACGAGATCTATGCCTTGCTGTCACTGCATACCTTGGTTATACTAATACAGTTTTTACCACAGCATTCCCCAGTGGAAACAGGCTAGCATTACCCAAGTTTTAATAGCTGGGGCCACTGCTAAATTTAAATATGACCTTCACTAAATTAGAGTGACTTGCAACAGACTGTCAAATGAGAACAGTGAGAAAAACTTCCAAGTGCTTCCAGGTAAGCAGCAAGGATTCAGAGTATTTCTAAAGAATCAGATAGATCACTCATTTCTAAAGAATATAAACAGAAGACAAAGGATTATTCAACTTCTAGTTGATACTGCTTTGCTACTGAAAAGAGATACTGCTTTCTGCCATATAGTGAATCTTGCTATT